ATATATATAAAATCTTTCTGTGGAAAGTAAAAATGTAAGCAGCAATTGATAATTTGGGGAACAGACAAGAAAAAAGAAGTTGTAAAAAGTCATACAGGATGACATAAGTTTCCACCTTGACCTAGTCATAGGTAACAAATAAAAGTATAGTTGGGTGAAAAAGTGCTTCATATTAATCATTTTCCTAAAATTCTGAGATTTAGCTGTACGTTTGGGGGGGAGTGGAAAGGGATAAAAGTCAGATCTCCCTTTCATCCTTAGGTTACATATTCTTAATTTTTAAAACAAATCACATGGTGTTCTTTACAGCAGTGCTGAGGACACTACAATTATGAAGCCTCCATTTTTTCCCCTTTAGTTTTTCATTGAATGGGAGTATCAATGGCAATGAAATGGTTAGTATTTCTTCAAATATGAACACAAATTACTGAAGTAACAGGAAATCTACATTTACAGTAAATTCAGCAAAATATCTATTCCTAATCTAGAAATCACTGTGGTGTTTTGTTTTTTTATTCTACAGAAACAGCACAAGTAGCCTTGAAAACTGAAAAGCTTAGGCCACTATTAGAAAAAACATGAATAGTTTCAAAATTCAACAGTTAAAGTATTATTGCTCATTTTCCTATTACTTCAACAAAAGTTTAGTTTAAATGCAATCGCAATCCACGCATTTTATTTTTAGGGGTAGAAAATTAAGAGAAAAATAAACAATCTGCAGTCTCGATAACAAGGCCATTAAGTACAGAAGCCCAGCACAGTAACTTCAGCACAGCATAAAGTGAGTACCTCTACCAGGCATCTCCTTAAGCAGATGCCACAATCATAATAGTGTAGAAGCCAGCAAAGAAAATAAATAATAACACAATAACAGCACATTAAGTAGGCAAATGAACAGCAACTAAACATTGCTAATATTATTGCTTTAGTACTCAACTTGTCAAGCATTCAAAACAATACCAAAGGCTTGTAGAAAAGTTGTTCTTTTCCCTTACCTTCGGCTGTCTGGAATAGGGATACTTTACCAGGTTACTGGCTGGCTGACTGCTAGTTTTCCTGAGAGCTGGCTGGCTCCCCTCCAGGCAGAGACTGCTGGCAAATTTGTATTAGTCACATTCCCCTCTGTCTCCCCTAATCCACTTCCTAAGCACTCTCGACCTATTTCCAGTCTAATGCTGTCAACTTCTGGGGTTCATTTTTCTCCCGAGATTTACTTCTTTTGCATAAGACAATTTACTAATGAAGCACCGGAGCAGCACATTGCCCATTACTACGTTATAGAAATAGCAAAGCTGAAACTAAAACATCCCACTGTTTCTCAGCTGTGTAGAATATCAATTGTGACTGGAAATAACATTTTCACAAGCAAATTAAATGCATTAGGATGCATTAAGTAGGTTGTCAGCTTTTCCATAGGATTAAAAGGCATCCCACATTCATATACTGCAGTGGTGAGGGTATAAACCCTGAAATCACACAGCTTAGCTTTTGAACTAGAAGACAATGCTTACTACTCTAAACATGTGACTTGATGTCCGTGTATATAATATATCCTTTTCAATCATTCGTCTCAAATACATTCTAGATCCCTGATATCTCCGCATAACAGAGGAAGAGCAACTGTTAACAAACGGAGGAGGACTTAATAAATGCCATTAAAAGGTTACATAGCATCTCTTTTCACTTCTGCAGAGGCATCTTACCTGAAGTGTTTTATCAGCTCCACACGATGCTATTCTTCGTCGATCCTTAGAAAAGCAGGCATGGTAAACTGCATCTCTATGTGGACGAACAACCAGACGGTAGAGGTTTTTCAAGGATTTTTTATTTCTACAGGGTAAGACAGTTGATTTTAGATGAGTAGGATTTTCTAGTCCTATAGACAACTAAAAATCTTCTATAAAAAGACAACAGTTCTTCACAGATCTTGAGCTGTAAGCTTTATAACAAACAAACCAACCAATCCACTATACCTTAATTCTCGGCCTTTACGTTGAAGTCATAAAGGAAACACAAATTCCAATACTCACTCAGAGTTTTTATTGCCTCCAATAGTTACAGCTTAGAGATCAAAAAGAATAACACGTGCACAAGAAATTAACATGCTACTTCACAGGCAAAGCTACTGCACTGCAACACACAGTGTATTTTTATGACCTGATTACAGAATCATAGAATAGTTTCAGCTGGAAGAGACCTTGAAGATCATGAAGTCCAGCCTTTGTCTCAGCCCTATCAACCCACTAAACTACGTCCCCCAGCGCAACATCCACCCGTCTCTTAAACACCTTCAGGGACAGTGACTCAACCATCTCCCTGGGCAGCCTGTTCCAATGGCTGACAACCCTTTCAGTAGAGAAATTCTTCCTAACATCTAACCGGAACCTCCCCTGGCACAATTTAAATCCATCTTCCCTCGTCCTATCACTCTCCACTAGGGAGAACAGACCAACTCCCGCCTCTCTACAGCCTCCTTTCTCTCCTTTGTAGAGAGCGATGAGATCTCCCCTTAATCTCCTCCTCTCTAAGAGATGTGTGATATTTCCCAATATAAAATTCTTCTTGAGAATTCCTGTTCTCCTGGAGGGTTTTTTTCTCAAGCTTATTCAAAACCACTCATATAATTGTTTAGATCTTAGTATATTTACTTAACTTTCACAGCAATTAATTCTTATCTTATTATTTAAATAACATCTATAACCATCACTGCATTTCAGTCGGAGATTAAGTACAAAATCTAACATAACTTACATGACTCTTGCTTCACTTTAACAAAAACTTAGAATTAGTGGCAATGCTCATCCTGTTTAGCCAGATCTTAATACAGAAAGCTGTCACTGTAATAAGATGATTTTGGTGATGAATAGATTGTTACAAGATTAAATTTTTTTTAGTGTCAAAATGAATCAAGTTGTTATCATTACCAGTTTCAATATTCAGGCTTAGCATTTAAACAATGGATAAAACATCTCAAACCAAGTAGCTGCAATGTACAAGAAAAGCAATTTTTCACTGCCAAGTACTGACTCATCTTTGCATATTCTAATAAAGCAAAAATTGCTGGTCAAGAGAGTAATGTATTTACCTACATGTCCTACAAAGCATTTTTAGAACCTTGCACTAGGAGAGGAGACAAAACACATTTGTCTCTGTTCTGTTGATTTCAGTCCAAGTCCTCAGCACAAGTCTCCCACATTCAAGGTGAAAGCCCTGAACTCCCTTGAGATTGACTCTTCTCAATTGTGCAACTTCCACACGTTATTGTTAGAACTCTGTCAGCTATGCAAAATGAAACAACCAAATATTTCAGGAGAAGATCTGAATTCAAGTATGCCTGGATTAACCTGTCTGCTTATTACCATAATTACCTGACAGAGTAACCACCAAGTACTGCAGATATCAGAACAGAAACATAAAGCAGAAAAATCTACCAGAAACAGTTATGTGGTCAGATGACTACCAGAAAAACCTTTAGGTATGATAGTGTTTCCTTAAACAACTTCCAGAAACATGAAAACAGCAAAGAATTATTTCAATAGGAGAAATTTCAATATCAGGTAGAGATTACAAAAAGTTTTGGTACTTCCCATCTCGCTACTTTCAAAAAACTTTGCAAGTTAATACAAACGCTGTCCTTTTTAAAGTGTACATTTTACTAAAAAACCTAAAAATATTCTGTAACATAACCAATACTTGCCCTATAACTTTTATTTAAAAATTAAATTATTCAGATAAGTTTCAAAGCTTTTCTTTTCATCTTTGTGTTGTTATTTAAGTCAGTAGAGAAGATTTTCCTCTATTTACTTCTGTATAATTATGGCAAATTTGTGGCCTTAGATATACAGAGCTCCTCGTCTCTCACAAGTTCTTGAAAATTATTTCACTTTCTTTCCCCAAAAAAACCACAGCATCTCTTAAAAAAAGTCTTTAGATTAGCCATATATTGTATTTAGTTGCACATTATCTCCTTGCACCAAGCAATCAGCATATCAGCAGACAGCCTGCAGCTACTTACATCCATTCCAGATAAAATGTTCCTGTTTCTCTTTGAGCATGTAGCTTGGCTTGTTGATACACCTCTGATGTCTCTGGTTGGCAAAGACCCAGCTGTATAATGTCAGGAAACGGCTGCCGACCAAGGAGGTGCCCATTTAAAGACAAAAATTCCTGGAAGTTCTCACGTACTGTGCCATCCTATGTACAGAGCAGATAATATTTGATAACATAGAAGGGATTTATTTCCCAAGCGCCCTTTGCTTTTTTAACCTAATACTTTCACAAAAGCACTTAGTTCTAGTTTCCTGTTTGGTTCTGTTAGCAAGTACATACAATTGAATGAAATAATTCATTATCATACTCAGAAAAACGTATTATCCTTATTTTTCAAATAAAGGATAGTGGCAACAGTGAATTACTTAATAAAGAGTTAATAGAAAATACTGGAAAAACTACTGCAAGCAGTCAACAACATCCCACACCTCCTCAAAAGCAGAGTACCACACATACCCACCTTTAGCTACTGTTGTTCACCTTTGCTATCTAGTTCCATGGCCAATTACTTGAGCACACACTCAAGTTACAACTAAAACAGAAAGCTGTATTTCCTTCATTTTTCTCTTCTCCAAGTTAAAGTACTGGTTTTATGTTCCAGTTTTTTAAGTTTTCTACACATCTCCCATACATACATCCAACAAAGTGAAATTACAAAACAGAAAAATATATTTGAAACCAACTGATCATTTACCTTTTAGTATCATACCTTTTGATCCAAGATTGAACTATATTCTACGTATTCATGAATCAGATGAGCAGGCCCTACCAATTCTGTTTTAGCTTTAATCCAATCTAAAGAAAACATAAGATCACGGAGTTCCTACAAGAAATACAAATTTAAGTTCACAGCGAAAGTTTCACAACAGAATCTACTTAAGGGGAAAAAGAAAAGCACAAGAAATACATCAGGTATTTAATATGCTTTGGTACAATTGTCTCTCACACAGCGGACCCGGTCTGTCAGTATTACTGAAGACTGAGGCAAAAAAAAAAAAAAACAAACCAAAAAATGAATGCTTCTACTTTTTCTTTATCCCTACTAGTCAGATGATTATCTTCCACAAGTATTGGTCTGATGTTTTCTTTAGACCTCTTAGTGACCATACTTTCTGGGATCAGAAAAACGCTTAGAGACAACACTGCACAGCCTCAAAAGCGTATTTCAATTTAGAATCAGAAAATACCGACAGGATTAACAAATTATCATGGTTAAACAAAGAAAAAGAGTACCTCTCTTCTTTATTAGCCTTCCAACAAACAGAAATCATTACTAAAGAATGAGAAATAAGTAATGTAAAGAGTGTAAACTCTGGGAAGCAAACAATTGTCATTATATAGGCTAAAGAACTCCGAGAACCTAGTTCTACAGAAAGGTTAATAATAAAAATTTTTTCCAATACACTGAAATTAAGGAGACTGAGATAATGAAAGAAGTATGATCCTAATAAAAAAAAAAAAAAAAAGATTTGCAACCCACATTAATTATGAAGGTTCCTGAAAGATACAAGTACACAAAGTGCATTTTACATGATAAGTTAGATGAACCATCTCAGAAAAGGTTCAGCTGAAAATGTTTCAATATACGTGAAATAAAGCAATTAGCAACCAGGATCAAACATTATTCAAGGCAAGAATTCTAAAGACATTCCAGTGAAACTACTTAAGTATTAACCTTCCTGCACAATTTGCATCTTATACTATCTCAGTACCTAAAGACCAGTGGGTGGCAAAAATGACAGGTATTTTTTAAAGGCGTCAAGGCAATCCTCAAAATAAGGGATTTGCTCATCTAACTCTTGCTGGAACTTTGTGGATATTAAAATCTAGTAATACAGTGAATAAATTTTTACACACAAATCAGTATAACATAAGAGGAAAAAAACTAACAAGTCTTCTGCAGAAAAAAAAAAAGTACTCTAATCAAATTCTCTGAAGAAATCAGTTTACTTGTATTATCATATAACTGGTTGAAAAGACAAGACACAAAGCACAGAAATAAAGTAGTTTTCATAACTAACAGTGGTTATCACTCCCTAAAGGAATCTGGGGAGTGTTTGCCTGGGAGAAAACAAGTTCAAGTGGGAAGAAGTCTGAGAGGAAAATCAGGAGTAAGTGTGGGTCAAAAAGGGAAACAAGAGGACACTAGTCAGAACTCACCTGCTGCATGTTGGCACCAGCCATGTGATACGCTAGAAAGTTATACCAGTACATGCAATCCTCTTGAGATGGAACAGGCATGTTAAGTTTGTAGTATTTCTTGTACTGATTCACTATGTTCTTATGTAGCTCCTGCAAGGTGAATCAAAGCACACTTTCAGTTAATATTATATACCAAGGTATGGACTGGTTTCAGTATTGAGAAATTGTAATTATTATTAATATTACATTGTATACAGTAGTGTGGAATAATATTATTATTTCTCAGTTGTAATACATCAACAAATAATAAAAGCTTACCTTCCAAACCTATACACTTAACCTAATTTATTGCTAATGACTTCTCCAGAAACATTCTCTGGGTATTGAAAGACAGAAAAGCAAGCTGTCAGTCTGCCTTCCTGAGTTGAGAAGAGCTATCAAATTACTCTTCACAATAAATGTGGGTAGCCAAATAAAGACAGCCCTTACATATATAGATTCAAAGCGGGTCTAAAAACTGGCCTTTTCTTCCTCTTTACTCTTTCTGCCCTGTCTTTCAGAACTTATAAACATACTGGACCCAACCCACAGGTTCTCTCCCTGCAGAAAATGCCTTGAATTTGAAAGAAAAAGTGTAAAAAGCATTTCTCTTTACAAAAGAAGAAACTCCCTATTTTGATAGAGCTTTGATGCCTTTGGAATCATCAGTGGAACATTCCATCCCCTTCTTTCACATCTCCTTCTCCATCTTTCACAGAGAAATCATGGATATAGACTCTTCTCCTAGTTTAGTTTCTTAGCTCCAAATGGAACCATTGTGAAACCACTCCACAGTTTCAAGTTGAAAATGTTTTTAATTTCCCAGAATGAAGTTTAACTGCATTCTAGACCTATTCTGTGAAGCTACTCTGGATACCATTTAACAAAGGAACATTTTCTGAAGAATGACCAGCTTTGGAAAGTAAAGTTAAAAGTAAGTAGGTCGGTCAATACTCTACCTGAAGTTGGTTGCGATTCTTCTCTGTAAGAAAGTCAAGTTGAAGATCATGTAAATAATAATGGAATGACTTCCCATTACGGTCACAGAACAAAAGTGATTTGTTAACAAACTCCTGTAGTATATCTTCAACTTCTTCAGTTTCCATATCCCAAAGAATACAAAGAACCTAAAAAAGCATATTAACACAGAAAAAGAATCAGAACTAAGGAGCAATATGACTTGTATGAATATCATAAAAGGTTACCAGTTAACTGACAATAAAACACATACCAACAAACAGAGACATATTAGAAATGCTATTCAACTTACTAAGTTACCAATTCTTTCACATCAAACTACAGGACAAAAAAACACAAGTCATCCGATCTTTCATCTATTTCTGTTGATTTCTTAAAGGACACAAATTTCACGTAACAGTTTTCAAGCCTTCAGAGAACTTAATTAGAATCTAATTAAAAGCAACATACAGAATGCACATTAAGCATTATGAATACATTTATTCAATTCATTTTTTAGTTTCACAACTGATAATAAAAGTCATGACACAAAAAGGGACCTGACTTACCCAATCTAGCAATTACTATTAACTTACATACAGCGTAAATTATACCCAGCAATTACAAACAATAACTTTGAAGAACTCATAAAATTTGTATCTCACGAAAACTGAGGAAATTTCTGCATTGCTGTTATTACCTTAGTAGGTACTTTAACATCTTTTGGAAGGATAGAGAGGTCTTTATAGTATTCTTTATAATTGTCATTCAGTTGCTCAACACTTATGGACATCGCTTCGTCAAGGGCTTCATAATCATAAGAAGAAGATTTTCTTATTCTTTTAAACTGCTTATTCTGCAGCTGCCTGAGATAGTATTCCCAGCGACTAGGGAAGTCTCGTAATAATGCACCTATCAAGGATATCACAAGAGGAGAACCTGAAGGAAAGATTAAATTAATCTTAGAGGTTTTCAAGGAACACAATCCAATAGATAAGTCAAGTGGTTTAATAAATCAGGTAATTTTACCAATGCATTGATTAAATTCTTCAGGTGTGGAGAACAGACAAACAAAACATCACCTATGTAGACATCTGCAAACTCACCAGATTTAAGTGTAATGGAGGGGTGGGGGGAAGATATGCTAAAGAAAACTACTCAAAAATCAACATAGAATCATTAAGGTTGGAAAAGACCTCTAAGATCATCAAGTCCAACCATGACTACTAAACTATGTCTTGAAGTGCCATGTCTACATGACACCTCCGGGGATGGTGACTCCACCACTTAAGCGGGCACAGCCTGTTCCAATACTTCATCACTCTTTCTGTAAATAAATTTTCCTAAATCCAATCTAAATCTCCTCTGGCACAACTTGAGCCCTTTTCCTCTCATCCTATCACTTCTATTTAGTCTTAAAAAACAAAAAGCATTTAAGAAGCACTTGTGTTTCGCTGAAGGTGCACAGTCTTTAGTAAGAGTGTTCCCTCCTTTATTTACAAGTCAAATCTAGAAGAAAAACAAAATACATTCAGTAGAAAATGGTATGTTAAAGACCATCAGGTATACCTTTGCATTCCCTTACAATGCAGTTAGCTTGTTCTGGCAGTTCTGATATTTTCATATTCACAAACAGGGATAAAATCTCCAGTCCCTTCTCATGTGCTAGTCCACTTTCCACATGAACCTCATATTTATTACCTAGACATAGAAACATGGAAAATATTAAAAATATTTTTAAAATCCCACAGAAACTGAGAGTATTTTCTGAACAAAATCTGAGGTAGAGGACCCAGCTTATGATTTTTTGCATAGTACTTTATATGCTCAGTACTAAGAAGAGTATAAATTCTACTTATCAGAATCAAGTTGGCAGTAGAGACACAAAATAAATTAGCTTATACCCTAATAATTACAAATGCATTATGGGCATGTCAAAGCAGTGACTGCTTAATAGCACAGAGATAAGCAGTGTAACAGCAGCAGTGTCACAGAGGTTAATTTATCCTGTGGAGAATCACCGCTCTCTTCAACGCAGACACATAACTTCTAGGATAACACATAAAACTTATTTCACAAAGTGCATAAAGCCTTACAGAGTAGAATTCTAAAACAGTGGCCCCTGTGCACAAGTCGACAGACATAGATTCTATCAGATTTGTTTCAAAGTTCACAAGAACAAAATGCAGATGTCTACACACAACCTGTGGTGCAGGAAACTTCCTTACCAGATACAGCATCTGTTACACTCCTGTCCCTGCTGGTGATAAGAACTTGACACTGATTATCAAATGCTTTTAACACCCAGGAATCCCAAATGTCATCCAGGATCAAAAGAGATCTAGTGCAAGAAGGAATATGTTGCAGATTTCAGATCAACTATTAGTGCTAAAATACAGCATTGCATTTTAATAATGACAGAACATTTCAGAATTTACAATGCACCACTACGTTATTTTTTTATATTAATATGTAAAATATCTTAGGAGGGCATTAAACACTGTGCAAGAGAGCTGAATGCAAGTATCTCAAAAAAACCAACACAACCCAACAACAACAACAAAACCCCAACACAAAAATAAAGCTTTGAAAAATATTTCCATTAGTAAAAGCCAAAAAAACCAGAAAGATTTGCCCTGTTTTTCAAGTCAGCAGATATCATAAATGAAGACAAAAGTTGCACAGGAGTAGATAACAACTCTGCTGGACGCAGGCAAGTGATAAACTTTCTGGGAGAAACCAGTTCAGTTTCCTTTTGACTTGAGAGTTTCAGTTTTGTTCTTGTATCTTCTGAGAGCTATGAGACTAATATTCTTGTGGAAGAATTGTCTTGGATGACAAGTCTCTTTTTACAGAGAGGACATTTTATAGTGACTACACACTCAAATCCTATGGCTAGTCATGCTTGTGGGTTACTACATGCACTCTCACCAGAATAATGCAGACTAGAGCTCCCTACACCTGCCTGTATCTGACAAAAATTACTGAATACTCTTTTTAAAAGGTTGGTTTCAAAGACAGCAAGAAGTCAAAAAGATTGGTTGGCAAGTACATTTATGAAAAAAAAAATACACCAAGTTATTTGCATTCTGTGTGATTTATGGAGGAAATAAAGTTAATTAAATCAAATCCTACAAACTGTTGACATTTACTGCCTGTTTTAAAATAAATTTTTAAAATGGCATTTTCAGCTACACTAGTCACTGGTTAAATTGTCCAGCTGCCACCGAAGCATGTCAAGACTTCCACATTTTTCTTCAGCTAAATGGCACTTATGCCACCAATGCTTAAAAATAAGGATTTTATCCTTCATTAACAAGTACATACGCATTACACCAAATTTTCAAAGCTGCATATAAGTCTTGGATACTCATACCCCACTTTTATATAGCTCCTCTATTAACACCCTTCTGATAAATCAGAGGATTTACAAGAATACTATCATAGCCATAAATGACTAATTTTATGGTACTAATTTTCACACTTGAAAATACGCTGGGCAGCACATTACAGTCTGACTTTATGTTTTTAATTAATCTGAGGACTTCGAAGTCCTCCCAGTCTTTGGTGCCAGTGACTTCCTTCCCTAATCACAACACCAAATCTTAAATTCTAACTAGGATTATAAAAATAAAAATAAAATTAAAAAAAAACACAAAACACCGTGATAACAATCATGGGAGATTTAACTCTGGAATTTCTAACTTTAAAGCACATCATAGCTTCAACTTCTTCAACCATAATCCAACAAACTAAATAATGCTATTTTGATCAGAAAGTTTTAATATGACTAATACTTTAATTTCAAGAAACATAGTGGACTCACAATTTGAATTCTTTGACTAAAACTTTATTCTCAAGAGATACACAGAGCTGATGATTTGAATCTAGAAATAGCTGAAGTGACTTTTTCCACCAATGAGAATTCCAGTGCAGAGCTCCTGAATCTGCTCCACAGAGGAGCAGATCTAGCGAAGCTTGGTTTCCCATTCGCTTGCACCCTACGAATCCCACTCCCCAGTACGTTCCCCTCTACCTCCTCCCACGCCCACTATGATTGCCCAGGTAACTCTTCGGCAGCAAGATTTTCAGTTTTTTTGTTACAACTTTCTTACCTATCCCTCACTGGGTAGGATGCAGCACAGTCTATAGCCTGTCCCCAGCCCACATGTTCAAGGTGACCAGTTAGCAAGACAACAAACACACTGCACTTTGTTCTGGATGCCCCTTTTTGCCACTGAAGGCACCTACTTGGATTTCTCTTCTTTATCCAACAGTCAATTTTCATAAACTTACAGAATTTTCAAAGATACAAAGTTCCTAATTTAGAGTCGAATTTGGCAATATGCTCACAGCGTTTAAGACAGAGGAGAAGGGAAAAGAGAAACAGGACGAACAGTGTGATCACATTAACACGGTTTTGAAATGGCAACAAGCAGTCAGGCAACAGAATCAATCCTTGTCCCTCTTCCTTGAAGTGCAGTCATTCTCTGCAATATTTCTACCTAAGGCCTGTTACTTCATTTTGAAGCTGATTAGCGAACACTGCCAGGTCAGCGGCATCCCACATGAGATATCTAGCACTCGGTAAGGAAGACATGGCCACACCTGGCACCAAAATGTCTTCAAATAAAACCAAGGGCCTAATTGTTTCCAAAGTCAGCATTTTCTCTTTTCCCCTTAGTTTCTTCAGCATACGGGTCCCCTTCTAGCAAAACACAGTAAGCCCCTCTTAAATGAGTCACTTTGTATACTACAAAGAGTAGAGCACAGTATAGTATATCAACCACCCTAGGCTGTCACGCTACTTGGCTATAGTAGCTGCCAACTTCTGGTGATGCCACAGGGTTACATCTTAGGAAGATAACACAGGGTTCTCCCTTCTACTTTGAAGACACTGTGAGGCTGTGAATGAATGAAACATCCAAACTCTTCTGTTCTGAAGAGTTTTGGTTTGTTTGTTAATGGACAAAAAATAACTAGAACTTTGTCAATGGAGACAACCACTTGGCATACTTGAGGGAAGCCTACACTTTCAGTTGACTTATTTTCACTTTTCCTGTAGCATGTCCACAAGAAACAAAAGATTTCTTGTGGAGAACCTGGCAGTGTTTTTCAAATCGCTTCTTCGCAAGAAAATATTTTCTTTCCCTGTACAAACACAAAATAACAAATAACAAAAACTATTGTCCAAACATTGAAAAAGCTGTGCAGTGACTGAGATGCTGCTTGATTAAATCAAGTCACTTTTCCTGAAGTTTGAAACCATTGAGTTTCTTGGCGATAGCTCATTGTATTACAAAAATCTGCTCTCACTCCAATAACTGTAGACCAAGAAGTTT